ATACTGATATACTTTTCCCACAAAGTTCACTCCTTTTAATATCTTATTTCTATTTATTACTTTGTCTAACCTTGTTTACAAGTCTATTAAGCAATTACTCTTTAATAACTTTTAACAATAGCTACCTTTCTTAAAACTTTGTTTTAAAACTTTGAAATTATAGTAGAATATTTCTTATATTTAAGAACAATATTTTTAATAACAATTTAAATTTTACTTATTTTATTAGTTTAATTAAACATATTTAAAAAATCTATACCAAAATCTTGACTAACAGATTAAACCAAGTTTTTTCTTAGCATTTTATTCTTTTACTTTATAACTATATTACTCTATTAAGTAATATTAAAGATGCCAACTACAATTATAAAAAGCTCTGGCTATTATTATCTTAGAATATAAGCAAAGCTTATGACTCTGTCAACTTTAATTTTTTTAAATATTTATTTTCTCATCTTTTTTTATCTCTATCTATCATTAATATTCTCTTTGATTTTTTTATTAATTGTCAAAATAAAGTTATTATCAACTTTGATTTAACTTTATAATATTAAGTTTAAAATAGTATTAATTAAAAATAAACTATTATTTCTTTACTTTGACAAATCTACTATAATCTTTTATTATTTATATTGATTTTAACTTTACTAGCTACTTTATTTTAATATCTTGGTTTACAAATTTCAAAATCTTTTCTAGCCAACAATTTAGTTCTAATTGCTTTGTTTTGGTTTATATAGATAATACTTTCTGAATTGTATCTTCTCAAACTAAGCAAACCAATATCTTATTTGCAGCTAAGTTCTTTTATACTATAGCTAATATTAAAGTTAATTTTACCAAATCAATTTTATTATTAATATCAAACTTTGCTCATACAATATTATTATTTTCAACAATGAATTACTTCTTTTCTGACTATCTTATTAACTCCTTGGCTATTGGTTTATTTTTAATAACAAATATACTAAACAATTCTAACTAATTTTTGCTGAGTTTTATTAGCTTATTAAAATTGCTAGTACAAAACAAATTACTAATACCCAAGCCAGATATATTATTAATATAGTAATTATCTTTATCTTAAAATATTAACTTCAAAATATAGTTTTTAGACAATCTGCTTGTAATAACAATATATTAATCTTGTTAAGCACAAAGCAAAGCTTTGTTATACTATTCTTACTAGTATTTTACTCTATCTATAAATATATAATATCAAAAATATTTGGAATATTTAACTTTAATACTATATATCTAATTTTATCAAATATCTCAATAATGAGTATCTGCTTAAAATATCTATTTAAATAGAGTTTAACAATTATAAAACAATTTTTAGTTTGCTACTAGCATATTAAAGCATCTCAACTTTACTATTAATAGCTTTAACTACTTTACTACTAATTTTAAAATTATACAACTTCTCTAATATTTAAATTAAAAAATTAGCCCAAATCCAAATATCTTTATACTCTTTATAATTCAAGAAAAGTTAGTTATCTTGAAATCAATTTTATTTTTCTACTCTAATTATCTTATATTCAAAAAACAACTCTATTATTATTATATACTTTTTTTAGACCAACTCACTATATTTAACAACTTATACTTATTTAACTAAAATATATCTTTTTTAGAATTTAGAAAATTTCTAAAAAAAAAATTTCTCAATAGTTAAGATTTTTAAAAATTCTATTACTAATCTTTCTGATAACTATATTATTTCTGCTTAATTCAGTTTACTATTAATTAACTATTATAGCTATAATACTGATCACTTTTACAAATATTCTAAGTTTTGAATTATTATTTTTTTTAATAATTAGCTAGTTATTAGCAAAGTTTAGCATCAATCAACTCTAAATATATTTTAATTACTTACTAGCAATATAATTTTATATTCAACTCTGTACTATTATATATAAGCTTATAACTATATCTTAATTGCTCTTTTAACTTTAAAATTATTAACAACAAATATACTATTCTTATTCTAACTAGTAGTACTATTAAATTTTTTGGCAAACTAAACTCTAACAAGTTAATTAATTTTAATACAAATTCTTTTGACTTTATATACTCTATTTATACCAAAACTATTATTATTTTTTTTTTCCAATATTAAGATGACCTCTATAACTAGAAGCTTTTTATTAGATAATTAATAATGTTTATAATTATAATAAAGGTACAACTAGCTTTATATATTTCGAATCAAGATCTGATCTATGAAAAGCAACTCTAGCAAAACCTTATTACTATAATGATTAGATGAAATGAGATGAGAATAGCCAATATAAAGAAACTAAATATGTGGCAAATAAAGAAAATTATGAAGAAAAAAAGTATAAACAGAAAACTACAAGTAAAAACAAATATTACACAAATTAACAATATGAATAAGAAAATCAAAATGTCAAAAGAAATACCTCTAGTAGCAGAAATAACAGAAGCAAAGAAAGTAGTACTGCTAGAGCCAAAAGCAATTCTAGAAGAACTCTAACCAATTTAGAAAACCAAAATGGGTATCAGGCATTGGGATATACAATAGGCTTTAACACAATAGCAATTGGTAATAGAAAAGGAAAATTCCCAAAAATAAGAAGCAAAGATAAACTAGAGAAGATGTTTGCAGAGATGCAAGAGAAATTTAGATCAATAGAACAATTATTGGCAATGCACTTCTGAGAGGCACCTCAGACAAATTAAAGAGACAGAGTAAAATAGAAAACCTCACTTTTGCTCCACAACCAAGCTCTATACAAAAACAATGTAAGGAGAAGAGAACTAATTTTAAATAGCTAAGACTAGGCCTTCATAATATAAATAGGTTAGAATTAAATAGACAGAAACTGAAAGCACTAGCAGATTTAGGGAAAGAAGAAAAGCTAGACATAATTGGGATAGTAGAAACAAACATAAATGAAGAGGAAGGTAGATGGATAGATTTGGAACAATATGGGTATATAAGCTACTGATCAACAAAAGAAGAGAACAAATCTAAAATGTCAGGAGTAGGAGTATTAGTTAATAAATCCTGGGCAAAACACATGAGTAGAGTAGTAAAATTCAACCTATATGCATTAAAAATAGAGTTCTTTTTCAGAAAAACAGTCCTTCAAATATAAGTGATATATTTACTGCCAATAGATAAAAAGATCAATCGAGAGGTCTAACAAATACTGATGTGTGAAATCTGTAACAATAAAATCAATATATATATATGCATATTGGGTGACTTTAATGCAATATATAACACAAAGCTAGATACAAGTAATACAAGCCAAAAAAGTCAGAGGCTTGGAAAAACTGTATTAGAGTGGTTTAAAAATAGAGATCTCATAGACTTATATCGCTTTCTTAACCCACACAAAAAGGAATATACAATGAAGTGATATCAAGAATAGATTACATATGAGTAGAAGAAGAAATGACAGCCCTACTTAATGAAGCTATAATCAAAGACATAAATATAGTTACAGGTAGTAACTATAAGTTAATTGGTATAGAAATTGAAACAAGCAGAATACTCAGATATAAAAAACTCAAAAATAGAAATCAAGATAAACCAACAAGAAGAGTCTTTTTATATTATAAAACAACTTCAGAAGAATGAGAACTTTATAGTAAATATGTAGAGTACATTTTTAGAAAAAAGGACATTAAAAAAAATACAACAATGCTACTTGATAAGGTACAGAATATCAATTCAGAATAGGATAATATCCCTTAATATATAGACTCATGCAAGCAAATTTGCCTGCGTTTTTGCATTTTTTTAGCTCTGATTTACTTTTTTAAAATGCCAAAATATTTAAATAAAACTTTGCACAATTATATTTGATAAGTATTTCTTATTATGCCGACTGGCGTAATTTTTCTCGGCTCTCAGGTAGTGTTACGAGAAAAAGTTGGCGGCCATCCAAAACATAATGCGTTTATACGTTCGCTACAACGTAAGAACACATAAACAAATGACGTTTGCGGGTCATTGCTGCTTATTCCAATTCCAATTGAATACACCAGCCACTTATTCCAATTGAATTATGTACACCAGCCACTTACTGTAAAAATTTTTATTTATACAAACCTGACTCAGGTCCATTTCAATTATAAACTCGACATCAGCAATGAATAAGATGGTGATTTTTAAATCTCCTATAATTAGTAAAATCACTAGTAAAAAAAAGGAGATTAAAGGAGTGGTGATTTTTATGTCTCCCGCGATAATTAATGGGCTATTAATAAAACTGGTGGGAGATCTCCCAAACGGGAGGGAGTGGTGATTTTTTAAGCCTCCCATATGGGAGTGGTGATTTTTTAATCTCCCGTTTTTTATTAGTTACAATTAGTAGGAGATATCCCATATCTCCCAAATCTTTCGCTATATATCTTTGTAATTTAGCAAAAAATTTACGTTTTTTTCGTTTAATTTTTACATAAATTCTTACGAAATGATTATATAAGCATGATTTTTTATAAAAGTCGTTAAAATTCTTGGCTTATTTTTTTTATAAGGATATCTCCTTTTTCTTTTATTTAAGATGCCGAAAATTCGTCATGAAATTTGGAATTATTTTAAAGAAAGTTCAGATAAAAAGAACCTTTATTATAAAAATTGTGATCAATACTATAAACGTAATTCATCTGTCATTGTTAAAATGAAGAAACATTACAAGAATTTTCATACGGAAATCTATACACCGATTGAAGAAAATAAAACAAGATTAATTTTTAATAACGAACAACGAATGCTTACTCAACAGAATGATTCTGTTAGATGTAGATATAAGATTATTTGTGATGATAAAGAATTTTTTATTGAAACCAAAAAAACTTGTTATTAAAAAAATTGAAACGATTAGAATTGCTTAGTTATGTCTTTAGTTTGTCTTGAAGATTATTCAATACTTTTTACAAATAAAGTAACTAAATGTGGATTCCATATTTGGAATTATTATATAATGACAGAAATATAGTGAAAAAACTTTATTTATTGTTTTACATTAGAAAAAGAAGATGGTGAAAATTTGTAATCTGTTAATTTTTCTTCTAAAATAACATCAATTTCAGTTTCACTTTTCTTTTTCAAGTTTAAAATTGTCACTCTTTTTAATCTCCAACCCATCTTTTCTCTATAATGTTTTTCATCATTACAATAACTTAATTTACCAAAATTATTTCTCTATTCATCAACTTCAAATTTTGTAATAAAAAATAAAAACTTTCTTCTATCGTAAAGATCATAAAACACTTGATCCCATTGTTTTCTCACAAATTCTTTAACAACAAAAGCAGGAGATTTTTCATTATTCAACTGTTTACGGTAATCATCATCAGAAATAATCGTGGTGAAATTATTTCCAAATATCCTACAAATCGAATCAAAAATACATTCGATATCTCCAATCAAGAAAAAAACTAATCGCCACGTTTCTTCTCTAAGACTAAAATTGTTTTTATACAATTTCAGATATGATTCTAAATTAAAAATATGAAGAAAATTTAATTTAAAATATTTTTCAGCTTCTGTTACTTGTTCTTCCTTTAACCACTTAACAAGTTCTTTTTTTCTCAAATTTATTGCTTGTAATCCTTTAAGAGAAATATAAGTTTCGTAAGAATACTTTTGACAAATTTTAATTTGTAAAATGTCTTTTTTTCGTTTAGACAAATACATTTTACTCTTACTAATAAACTAAAATCTGCTCTATTTATATTTGGAACGAAATTTTGCTAAAATTACTGAATTTGGATATCCATATTAGGAAATTTGCAAATTTCCTAAATATAAATACGTGTACATAATCACCTGACAGAATTTTAGTTTTTTAAAATGGTAAATCATTGTAATCATAGGTTTCAACATTCTATGTCAACTGTTTTTTATTGTATACCATGTTTAGAAAGTTACAAATGCAAAAAGAATCCTAGTGAAAAAGAAAAAAAAGCACGAGAGGAAGAGTACATGAATACTGGGGTTGTTCCAGAATGTAGATTATGTAAACGAAATTATTAGCGTTGTAAGAAGAACAGTTGTAAAAACTGTTGCAAGTTGCGAGAGTGTAATGATATTGTTTGTTCAAATTGTGTTGAAAAAAATATACGTTGCAGACATGTTTTACCAAAAACACAGGAAGAGTTTAATGTGTTGGAAGGATTGGGAGTAACGTTTTGTTCAGGTTAATATGAACCAACTACTAACAGACAATTTCATGAGCAAGTGTATTTTCAATTCAAAGACCGTCAAACTGTGTTATCTACGAAGAAGATTTTTGGTCATAGCGCTATGAATTTCTCTAAATATCTCAATGGTAATTCAAAACAAAATCTTGCTTACAGCACCAAACCGTATGGAAGGTATGAGCTTCATAAGAAGAAATGTCAATGTAGTTACGAGAATCTTGATGAGTTTTGCAATGCTTGTGATGAAAATTGTAGACCCTTGAGAAAGTGGGCACGGTGGGTTGATAGAAATAGAAATCGATTACCAGATAACATTGTCGGTCCTTTTGTGTTCGGTGTTTATCGAGATCTTTCTGCTTCCAAGGAGTTTTCCAGTGCTGTTAATGAGTTGGAAGAAAAGAAGATAAAAGAATTTGAAGCAATTATCGAGGGGAATAATAAGCTTTTAGAGGGATCTACACCGTTACAAGTGTTTGAATTTAATAAAGATAGTGTGTGATATTCTAACAATTACATTAGTATGAAAGCAATTTATATAGATTTGGAGAAGGAAAGAAAGAAAAAAGTTCAAAGATTTTGGCGACCCATGGTTTTTTATCTATTTGGACCAGGTGGAAGTGGCAAATCTGGATTGGTGCAAGAGCTTTTTAAGGACGAATTCTACGATAAACATCAGAAACAAAGGTCAGGATCTAATTGGTGGAATGAGTATGATGGTCAAGAAATTGTGTTCTTGGATGAGTTTTATACTAAGATCGAGTGGAATAATATGGTAAATTTACTAAATGATACAAGTTGTAGCGTGGAGATTAAGCATGGTGGTTTTGCTCCATTTCTTGCAAAATACATATTCATGACTACTACAAAGAATCCTCTTGAAGCATATAATTTCAACAATCGTGGAGGAAATGAGGATGATAACAAACGTGATTTTCGACAATTTGGTCGTCGTTTGGATTTCGTGATCAAATTTGGTGGGGTCTGGCATGATGTTATTAGTGAACGTATCACAACAATCATATTTCATCAATGTGAGTTGGAAGGAATAAATTGGGGTACCGAGGAGCAATTTCGTAGCATGAATTGGGACATCAAGTATAGAAACAGTTGCAATACTCCAGCAAAAGTTATAGAGAAGAGTAAGATTCTTAACAAAGATATCGAAGGAGAGCATGTTATGATTGGACACATGGTGTATTGGCGTCGCAAGTTTCCGGAGTACAAGCGTCGTTATCTCCAGGATTATCCGAGGAGTCGAGAGCTTTTCGAATACCGTATGGAGTGTGAATCACAATCACAACAAATTATTCCACAAAATTCAACAGAAAATACAGATCCTCAGATAGAATCAAGCACCTCGCAGAAACGAAAAAGTGTTGAAATTCAGTCGTTATTACAGATATTTGTAATGAAAATTCTAATAAAAAAGCACGTTTTGATCAGTAAATTATCGATATTAATTTTAATTAAAATTTCTAAATGTAGAATCTATTTTAGGAAATTTAAATGAATATAATAATGGTTAGATTGTATAAAAAAATGGAACATCTAGTCAAATAACGGAAAAATATAAAGTTTTAATTTTTTTTTAACAAAAAAAAAAGAAAATAAATTAAAATGCCAAAAGTTTATTCGCGTCATGAAATTCGAAAATTTTTTCATAATACTGACAAGACAAAGATCATTTGTGATTTATGCGAACAATCGTATAAAACAAAAAATCTCAGTTTCAAATCTTAAACGTCATTTCTTAAAATATCATAAAGATGAATATCGATCGATTTTACAACGATCGAAAGAACTCAAGGAATTAAATGCTCCATTCCTCGAAATAAAGAATTAACTGACTCACGTAATGTTCGAGTTTCAGAAGATGATGAGTATTTAACGGAAGAAGAAACTGAAGAGGTTGTTTTTTCTGGTGAAGTTCTAAACAAAGTAAAGGTGGTTAAGAAGGAAGAAAATAATTTTATAAGTAAAATTAGTAATATCGAATTTGAAGATAGTAGTCAGATTAATATAATTGATAATCAGATTATTATTAAAGGAAAAATGTAAAATTTTTTTTAAATAAAGTTTATTTTAAAATAATATTTGTTCATTTTATGAGGAAATCTGAACGTGTTCACTTTCTTACACTCAAATGTTCGGATCTGACCAATCACATCTCTTCTGGTCGAATCTTTTCTTGCAAGAATCTGAATATGTTCACTTTCTTACACTCAAACGTTCAGATCTGACCAATCACATCTCTTCTGGTCGAATCTTTGAATACCGATTGTAATATGGTATTCAAGAGTTTGCCTGTGAAATTTCAGCTCATTTGAACGAAAACTCGTGAAGATATTCAAGTTTTATGTTCGTCTTTGGTAAGACGTTTCTACGTTTTGATGAAAGAGATGAAAAAACATGGTACCTACCCTTGATTTTACAAGTTCAGTCTAAACATATGACTGCGCATTTTAAACATGAAATAATAAAGTTATCACATTTTATTTTTAACTTATTAATAAAAATAAACTAAGAATAATATTTAATTTAAATTTTCAAATTTTTCATAAAAAATATCTGCAAAAGTTTTACTTTTTTCTACTCCAATACCATTTTCATAACATTGACCAACTTTATAAAAAGCTTGAATATAGTTTAATTCAGCAGCTTTTTTATAATAAACAAATGCTTGATTTTCATCTTTTCCAACGCCAATTCCATATTCAAAACCACGTCCAACGTTAAATGTTCCTTCACCACTTTTCATTTTAGCGGATTCTTGATAATAAATGAATACTTTGTTTTCGTTTTTTTTCAGTTCCAATTCCATGTTCATGACAATAACCAAGTTTGTTTTTATCATCTTCTCTAACATATCTTTCAAAGTTTTCTCTTTCCATTTTAGCACCTTTCTTACTTGATTTGATAAAATAAGAAGTCAAATTAACATATGTATGATTAACCTTTTCAAAATATTCTAAAGCTTTTTGACAATTTTTTTCAATTCCAACACCATAGAGATAACAGCAACCGAGTCTAAATAACCCTTCATTAGAACCTAATTTAGCAGATTTTTTGAAACAAAAGAAAGCGGTTTTATCTTTTTCATTCTTGGAAAGTACGTTTTCTTCTTCTTTTTCTGTAAGATAACGCCCTAAATATAATAATAAAATTTGACAGCTATTTTTGTAGTTTTCATTCTCGTCGTTGGTCTTAATAATATCATCTATATCCATTGGTTGAGGAAAATTTTCGTTAGACATTTATATTTTTTTTTTTTAAAAAAAATAAATATTTACCTATATTTTTTTTCAATTCGGACATATTTATTAATCTGTTAATCTTTTCCATATTGATACATATTTAAACAATGAGGAATAGAACCTTTTATATAATTTTGAGCAGTGATCATAGATGCTCCAACGCACTGTAAATTATGATAGAGAAAAATTTATTTTTATTATAAAATTTGAAGTTGGTGAATAAAGAAAGAATTTTAGTTAAGTTATCGAGAGATTAAAAAAAAAAGTGACGATCCTCGTTATATTTGGAAATAAAATAAATATAATTATGGTAAGATCAAATTATAAGAATTAAAAATGGAACGTTCTTTAGTTCTATCTTGTTATTTCTTCTCAAACATGTCCAGGTATTTTACTTTATTTCATTTTTATTCAACAAATTTGCTAAATTTTATTTATTTTTAGTAGCAGTGATGAAGAAGATATTGGTTACATTTCCTTAACCGAACACAACAATCAAATTAACAAAGTTCACAACCGTTACTCAAGAGAAAAAGAAAAAGACAGACAATTCGAACAAGAAAAACTCGATCAAAAAGAGAAAAGAGAAGAAAAAAATATGAAATTCGAACGAGAAAAAGAAGAAAAAAAATATAAATTTATATTAAATGTTATAATAATTATTTCAATTATTATCTTTATTTTTGTTTTTTTTCTTGTTTCGATTTACTGTTTGTATCAAGAAAAAATGGTTGTTTCCATAGCTAGTGCATTGATAAGCGGATTAACAGGCTGCGTAACTGCTTATTTTCAACTTAGAAAATAATAAAGAATGTTTGGTAAATTGGTATATAATGATAGATTAAATTGTTTTACTTTAACTCAAGATACTGTTTACTTTAAAATTGTTAAAAATAATGATACTATCTTATCGATGGAAATTTAATTTTTAATTTTTATTTAGTCGAATCTTTTTCTGTAAAAAAATCCGAATCCGATTCACTTTTTCATTAAAACGTTCAGATCTGACCAATCACATTTCTTCTCATTGAATCTTTTTCTGCAAGAATCTGAATCGATTCACTTTCTTACACTCAAATGTTCAACTTTGTTGATCGAAAATTACCAAATGTGGATTCCACATTTGGTAATTTCCAAATGTGGAATCTACATTTATTAATTCTTTCTGTATTAAAATCTTTATAAATTTGTAT